CATTTATTCCTGAAAATACCATTTAAATGATCAGTTTGTCGTTCAGACTGAAATAATTTGAGGGGTTGCTTTTGCATCGAGCATCTGCAGCTGCTAACAGCGAGACATATTTAACACAAGATTAAACTTTGTAATCACTAAAATGTGCAACTCTGAATGTTTCTAATCTAAATAGACTTGTCAGTCATTCTAAATGTTGGCATCATTTCCACACTAAAACCACAGAAAATCATCCGTTTGTTTGTGTTTCTAATTTGCAGCATATTCTCCTTCCTCTCTGCCATCCTGTATTTGGGAAATGTGACGTTCACTTTGTCGAAGGAGACCCAGGTCTTGGAGGCCGGGCCTGCAGACGTTTTATCGACACTTTCAGACCTGTTGAAGGTAAGAATGATCGCGCTGTAAGATGTCGAGCCATTAATAGTGCACTCTTGAATTTTTTTGTGTATGCTAGTGCCATTTCTGAGTTGTCCAGTCTCTAAACGGATTGCTTTCACTCCAGCAGATTTGTGGACTTGGATTAAAGTGATTAGTTCTACAAAACCTGTTGCGTAGAAGAAAAACGCAACAGATTGAAATAGTTTTCTCAATGAGTAAAACAACAACGTCATATGATGTTTTATTGTGTGAATGTTTATGAAGCATTCACACTGTTGTGATCCATTTTTCTTCCATACGTTTTTCAGCATCCTTCTTGTTCCACAATTTTTGTGCTATTTCAACAAATATATATCAAAACGTTCAGCTCATTGAGGAGAAGGGTGCTATGACTTTTGGTGCAATTTTAGCTTTTTGAAATATTTATTTAGCCTTTTCTGACACTTTTTTTTCTCACAGAAAATTAATTGAGCTAATTTTACATCCTTCATATCTTTAGATCTGTTTACAACCTTTTACTGCTCATTTCACATTTTTTTCTGGTTCAGCTTCCTTGTAAAAATGTAGAAAAAGAAAAAAATCAGCTACTTTTAGCTCATTTCAGCTGTTTTTTTCTGCCGTTTTGTGCTCCTTTCAGCGTCTTTCTGCTAACTACAACATTTTTGTGCTTCTTCTAACTTCTTTCTACAAATTTCAGCTCGTTATGCTCTTTTCAGCTTATTTATGCATTTAAGCTTTTTCTGTTTTTTCAGCTTCTATTTAGCTGTTTTCCTGCTAAATATAGCTTTGTCAAATAATTCCATATTTTTGCTCTCATTTCAACCCCTTTCAGCCTAATTCAGCAAAAATGTACTCTCAACTTCCTTCTGGTATCTTAAGCTTCTTTCTGCTGTTTTAGCTACTTTTCAGCTGGATTTTTTTTTTTTTTTTTTTTGTGGCTAGTTTAGGCTTTTTTCAGATAATTTCCATTTTTTGTGCTCATTTGTGCTTCTTTCAGCATAACTGGGCAAACATGTTCTTTCTGCTTTCTTCTGCTAGTTTAAGCTTGTTCTAACATTTTAGCATGTTTTACCTAATTTCAGCTGTTTTCAGATAAATTCAAGTTTTTCATGTTAATTTCTGCTACTTTCAGACAAATTAACTTCTTTATGCTAATTTCAGCTTGTTATGCTCCTTTCAGCATTTTTCTGCTAGTTTCAGCTTTTTCTGCTCGTTCAGCTACCATTTAGCTCTTTTGATGCTAATGTTAGCTTTTTCAGCTAATTCCACATTTTTTAGCTAATTTCAGCTCTTTACGTTTCCTTCTAGTAGTTTAAGCTTCTTTTTCTTTTCAGCTAATTTTTGCTAATTTCAGCTTTTTGAAGCTAATTCCCTAATTTTTGTGCTAATTTCTGCTAATTTAATCCCAATTCAGCAAATATGTATTTTTCCTGCTTTCTTCTGCTAATTTAGGCTTGTTTTTCCATTTCAGCTACATTTCAGAATGTTTTTAGCAAATTTCAGCTGTTTTTCAGCAAGTTTTACTGCAATAAGCGTTCACACTGCATTTTTGCAGGAGATGCAATTTCTCGAGTTTTGTTTGCGTCTTTTTTTCTTTATAGGTGAAAAAAGAACTGCTGGTCATGGCTTTGACGAAGAGGAAACTGGTGACAGCCACCTCCACTGTAGTTTCACAGTACACACTACAGGAGGTATTTAGTTTGCTGTTATTAGTTAAGCTGCTTAATGAAGAACAGTTATTCAGTAATTTATAAACTTATTGTATGTCGGGTGCCCATTTTTCCCTGCTCTTCTGCTTTCAGGCTGTTGCTTTGCGGGACTCCATGGCGAAATCTTTGTACGGTGCTCTGTTTGACTGGATCATCCTTCACATCAACCACGCAATGTTCAACAGACGAGACATGGAGGAGTCCGTCTCGGTGAGTCATGTGGTTCATTTCAGTAACCAATAGCTTCAGACCGCTGCGTTTATGACAGTTCAGTCTCATTTTCTATTCTACCAGGATATTCTGGCAACACTTGATCCCAAAGCATGAAATATTACAATGTCATTAATGTGGTGGTAATTATGCAGCATGCTGATTTTTATTTTTAAACTGTGTTCTGTTTTTAGTGTTTGTCCATTGGTGTCCTGGACATGTTCGGCTTTGAGAACCTCCAGACAAACAGTTTTGAGCAGCTGTGCATCAACTTCATCAATGAGAAGCTGCAGCATTACATCAATCAACACATCTTCAAAAACGAGCAAGTAGGTTTAAATAGATGTAGCGATTGTTTCAAATTTAAACTCACTGTTTTTGTATTAGAATAATTAAAATGATAACGCCACCGCGGGTCTGTGCTCAGCCTGAGTCTCACAATGAGACAGGCTGCGTATGCTGCTGTAGATTCCATCATTTAACAATATTACAGCTAAAAGACAAATATTTATGCTCCAGATTATAACAGAAGTTTGTGTCTCCATTTAACTTTATTTTTTCTATAGATATATAAATATATCTGGCAACCCCTCAACTAAAAACACTGAAATGACAGAAAAGTAAACAAAAGAAAAGTTGTTAAAATCGTCTCTTCCTTCAGGATGATGTTGGTCTTGATGGTGCTTCATTAGATACACTGTACTGTACACAGTACAATGTATCTAATGTACTATGTACTTTTACTAAAGTCATGTACACACTATACTGTGTACTTTTACTAAGGTCACGTACACAGTATAGTGTGTACATTTACTAAGGTCATGTACACACTATACTGTGTACTTTTACAAAGGTCATGTACTGTACATACTATACTGTACTTTTACTAAGGTCATGTACATACTATACTGTGAAACTTTTGCAAAGGTCATGTATGTA